AGTGCTTTTGACTAACTATGATATGGAATAATGAACCTATAAAGAAAAATCATCATGTAAACATGGTTTCCTAATACTTTTTCTATTGAACTAAACTATAATACCTTTTTTAAAGTCTACGGGCCTATGAAACTAGATCTGTTCAATGGCAAAGATAGACTGTCACATGCGATAGTTGTTTTCATTTATCACAAGCCTGGTAATTAATTCATTAGCCTGCCAATCAGCTGCACTGCTAGTGAAATCTGTGGAAGTAGAATGAAATAGCTTACCGTGCACATGGACGTCTTTGTGATTTTCAGAGTAAAATCTGAAGAAAACTCCAAATCTGAGATAGATGTTGTATGGCAATCTATATGCTACCCATAAGAAAGTGAAAGAGTTAACAGAAAAAAAACAAAGAAAAACATCACTTTTTTATGCAAAAGGGATTACTATAAACCAGTGTTTCACAAACTTTAATCATTCACATACCATTTTGGGGATTACTTCTAAATTTAAGGGGTACTAGTTACCAACACTTAATTTTTCTATAAATCAAATTACTACTGTTTTACTTAGAATTCTTGTAAACAATGGTATATATAAAATCATGGCTCTGATGTGTAATGTTTTTCTATGTTTCACATAAAATCATTCTGCATACCAACTATGGTACACCTACCACATTTGCTGTATGTTATGTGTGATAACAGTCAAATTTATAGGAAATGCCAATTTTAAAACACATGCTAATGAAAAGAAAAAGTTGTTTAAAAATTCATGTCCATAATTGCATTTGAAGGTAAGTTTGTTAGATATTAGGAAAAACCACAACAACTGAAACAAAACTGCACAACAATGAAGATTCAATTTGGGGAAAAAATAGCCAAATATCTTTATTTTCCCATTCTGCCTTGGTTCAAATCCTTTTCCATTTCACTTTGGAAAAGGAATGGAATCACCTTGCAACCACAGCAGTCTGACCAGAAGTGTGTTTTACCTGCCTATGAGTACATAATAAACCAGTGAACACAATTCATAAGACTATACACCTGAGGCATTACTCTACTTAAAATAGTTTGAGAAAAATTTTCAAAAATTTGTAGGAAAATTGGGAAATACATAACTATATTTACTTAAATAAGTGATTAATGTTAGAAAAGTGTATGTATACTTTTTAAATACCTTCATTTTCATTCCTAAATTTTCTGTTTCAACTACTTATTCATAACAGTTTTGGCATTAAGCAAAGAGATCACCAGAGAGAGAAATTAGCACTGCCCCCAACTCTCCTCTTTCTGCTCAGTCTTAAGGCTGAGTTGAAATCGTATACTCCTACCTTGCGCCAAAGAGCACAAATGAATCCCTTACTAACACTGTACCAGAGCACGGAACAGTCCCATAATCATCAAGCAGGCTGTGTTTTTTTTTTTCCTTAAAAGCCAAATACAATTTTAATCAGCTTGCTCTTGCTAAGAAACTTCACATTTATTATTCTATGCTAATTTTTAATACTTTTCCACTTAAGAAAATTAATAAACACTACATATCTATTTTGTTCAGAGAAGAATTATTGATGCTATAAAAGTAATAGTGTGACTAAAAAGAGGCAATATCCTGTACCTAACACTGAACAAACTACTGTATATTTATTTATCTAGTTGAAACAGACAAATTAAGAAGTTTTTAAGAAAAGCAGTATGATTCTTCACTGCAAAGTTGGTGAACCCATGTAAATTAAACACAGAAAGATTCACAATAAAACCAGAGATTAACTGAGAAATTTGAACACAGTATGGCTTTAGTTTCATGCGCAAATTTACTGTTCTTAATCTGAAAAGGGTGGTAGAAATTTGAATGAGAGAAGTTAAATTGTGTGGAATATATTGACATGAATTGAATGAATAATCTGGCTATAAATGAGAAGCTAGAACAAGGCAAGGAGGTGGTGATAAAGCAGAAATGACAACACAACAGGACTTTGTACCTTAATTAAGCCAAAGTTAATGATTCAACCAGTTCAGAGATACAAGGATTATAAAACTGAGTACAAGGAATTTTAATATATAAAAAAGTGATTCCAAAGGGATGATATAATTGGTAAATATTATGATCTTAAATTCTTTAGACTGATTAAAACTGGAAGAGTACTGTTTCGAAGGCCCATAAATAAAAATCACTATATTAATTTCAAATACTAAACTAAGAAAAATGGCAATACTGTTATAGAGAAGTAAAATTGGCAAAACACCTACCTTAATACCACAAGGTTCTGAAATAAGAGTATTTGGATCCAAAACTTCCACAACAGCTTCTGGAATAACTGCTTTCTTCATGCAGGACATGTTGAAGCCATAGACATTATCCCAAAAAGTAATTCTATCAGCATGTTTATTCACATCGCTCACTGCTACAAGGCTGATAGTGCAAATGTCAGGATAGACTGGAAGCAATAAAATGCCCAACAATTAAGCATCATCTCCTTTTATGACAGAATATAACTTTTAAAGGCTAAATATAAATATCAAATCCATCAGTATGGATCACTAGTAATAGGAGATTAACAAGGGTATAGACCAAGGAAAACAACCATGTTCCATCTTGTAGCCTCTTTCTAAGAAAGACACCCATTATCATGATGGTAAGATTAAAATAATTCTAACGATGGGGTCCCTACTAAAACAGGTTTATTTAAGTAATCCTGAAATGAGCATACTTAAAATTATTATTAAAACTTAAAGTATGCCAACCTAAAAAAAGCCACTAGATCTTTTACTTCATATATTCCTCTAAGACACGAAGAGACAAATCATTTAAAAAGAGATGTAGCATGGAAAAAAAAGCATAATGGACTTTTACAGTTATGTAGATCACTAGTTCATATTACCTCTTTAATATTAAAAAAAGAGCATCAGGCTGGGCAC